ACACCTGGACTTCAAAGTCAACCACTCTACTCAGTTTGCTACAAAATGTCTACCTTTACATTTCCAACCCTCACATTCAGTCCTGATAGTAATTATTCACTATAGTACCACATGAGTGCTATCCCCATCTCCTTTCATCAGTCCTGCCCAGACAGATTGGATACTACTCAGTGGAGATTCTACCTTCCTCAGAGCCTTCTGGATCTAGGCTCCTTGAAAGCTTATAAGCGAGTCACTTCTTGCCTTGGTAGCCCCCATCCCACATTTTGGGAGCCAGTATCCAAGTTACCCATCCCTGTCTCCCTGTATTGAGATGGTGAGAATGATCCTTGCTGTAAAGATTTGTTCGCTCTTGTGAGCTACTGCATCCATAGGTGTAGGTCAAGTTCATCAAATTGTATCAGATTACTCTTTTTTTCCTCTTCTTTCTTCTAGTTGAGCTCTGATAATCCAGCCATTGAAGCCAGGTCAAGTGGATATTATCTCTAAGTGTGGGTTTTCTTGTGCATATGCCCTGTCTTCTTATCAGCTGGATTCTTCATTCTCCACTCTAGTCCTCTGTGGCTATGTCACTGACTCTGGGCCTAGGAATCCCCAGGTCCTGCCACACTGCTTGCCAACCAGGTGTCTACCCGGGTTCACAGGAGTGTATTGAACATGGTTGGATTTAGCTTGCAGCTTCATTGCTGTTTTTCACTTCCTTCCCCTTATCAGTGACCACCGTGGTCACCAGTCAGAACATGTGTCTGCTTTTAGAGGTGTTGTAGTTTCCTACATATTTTAGAAATGAGTCCATTGTCTGATGTGTCATTGCAAAAGATTTTTTCTCATTTGCGGGTTCCCTTTTTATTCTTCTGGTGAAGTCTTTTGATGCACATAAGTTTTTAATTTTTAGTATGTCCCAATCATCTATTTTGTCTACTTTTGTTTGTGTTGATTTCAAAATGTTTGAGAGTCTGTGTATTCCCTGAATTAGTGCCCTCACACTTGTCCCTATTTTTTCATTGATGGCCTTCATAATTTTGGGATTCACATTTAGGTCTTTAATCCATGCTGAGTTGGTTTTGTATAGGACGTGCGATAATCTTTTGCATATTGTTTTCCAGTTCTGCCAGCACCATGTGTTGAAGAGATTATCCCCACCCCATGCGATATATTTAGGTACTTTGTCAAAAGTCAGTTTGCTATATGTGGATGGGTTAATTTCTGGATTCCTGATTCTCTTCCGTTGATCAGTGTGTTTTTCATTGTATCTGTACTAGGCTGTTTTGACCACTGTTGTTGTTGTTAAGTGCCAGCGAGTCAATTCCGACCTATAGCAATCCTGCATAGGGTTTCCAAGTAGCAGCTGGTGAGCTTGAACCAACGACTTTGCAGTTAAAATGACTTTGCAGTTGACCACTGTAGCCGTGTAATACATTTTTAAGTTGGGCAGTGAGAGGTTTCCAACCTTATTCTTCTTCTTAAGCAGTGCTTTGCTTATCCTGGGTCTCTTTCCTTTCCATATAAAGTTTGTAATTGTTTTTTCCATCTCTTTGAAGAATGTCATTGGAATCTGGATTGGGATTGCATTATATGTGTAAATTGCTTTGGGCAGTATTAACCTTTTCACAATGTTAAGTCTTCCTATCCAGAAGCATGGGTACATTCTTCCATTTTTGTAGGTCTCTTTTGGTTTCTTGTAGTAGTGATTTGTAGTTTTCTTTGTATAGGTCCTTTGTGTCTCTGGTTACATTTATTCCTAGATATTTCATCCTTTGGGTGGCTATTGTAAATGGTATTGCTTTCCTAATGTCCTTTTCAATGCTGTCGTTTTCGGTATAGAGGAATAGTGTTTTTGAGTGAAAGTTTACACAGCCGTTTAAGCTCTCATTTTACAATTTTTACACAAATTGTTCGTGACATTAGTTAACATGTTTTACAATATGAAACATTCTGTTTAATTGCATTCTGATTGTTCCGTTTTCAGTACACTCATTTTCCTGCCCCTTATCTTCTTTTCTTTGCTGTGGTGCAATGAATCACTTTATATTACTGTACTCACCATAGTCCTATAACTCCCACCAAATGAGTGAGTGGGATTATGTGAATGAGGTAAAATAAAGACTTTTGTCACTCTGGCCTCCTGAAAAGGCCTTAGGGACCAAGAAACAAGATGTCTAGGGCCAATTTATAAGTGCAACCAAGAAGCTACCCTGATTGAAGAACTGTCTTGAGTCATTCCTGACCCTGACTTGTAATCTGTTACTTTCCTCATAATTCCCTTAATTGTGAATGTATTCTGTGAGCTCTCTGTGACCATTGCAATGAATTATCAAATCCAGCAGGTACAGAGAGGGATAGCTGGTGTCAAACTCAGTAAAATGGGTGGAAAGTAGAGTTATGCCCTGACCTCCACCTTATGATAATCATATCATATTGATGCTTATAATGATTTGCTTCCCCACTTCTGAAATTACATGTTTAAGTCTGATACTGCTGCCACACCTTTTTTAGATGTGCTTTAGAGTAATTGTTATTTTGCTGAAAGGGGATCCTAGAGGATATTTTTAATTCTTGGTTTAAATAGTTTTTCAGGATGATAGTCCAGGGAGTCTTCTAGTTTCAACTGCTCCATTAAGTCGGGACTATTTAAGAATTTGTATTCTGTGTATTTCAACTGGATAACAGCTAATTCTTCTGGTTTTATGGTGGATAGGGCCATGGTTCATGTAAGCTGGTAGCTCTGTAGATTAGTTTCTTCTCTGAGACTTTGGTTTCCTTCTTTCTTTTTCACTTCTGACAAGTAGAGATCACTTGTTATATCTTAAATGGCTGGTCACAGATTTTAAAACCCCCTGATACCAATCCCTCAAGAGGAACATAAACTTTTTGAACTGTTTTTCAATTGACTAAATTTTCCTGTGAGATTAAGGCCCTAAGCCTTCAAACTCAGAAAATGAATCTCACACGGTGTTTGCATTTATCTGAGAATTTTTCGCAACTGTGTCCTTTATAAATATGTGAAGGGGCTTCAAAAAGTTTGTGTAGAAATAGAATTGAAAGACAGTGAAACTTTTCCACAAACTTTTTGAAGCCCCTTCATATGTGCGTGCATACATATATCTGTACATACACATACATATAGGAGCCATAGTGGTACAGTAGGTTTAATATTGCGCTGCTAACTGAAATGTTGACAGTTCAAACCCCAAGTTGCCCTGTGGGAGAAAGATGAGCAGTCTACTTCTGTAAAGATTTACAGCCCAGCAAAACCTAGGGACTCTTGGGCCCAGAGTCAGTGACATAGCCACAGAGGACTAGAGTGGAGAGTGAAGCATCCAGCTGATAAGATGAGAGGGCATATGCACAAGAACACCCACACTTGCAGATAATACCCACTTGACCTGGCTTCAATGATTGGATGATCAGAGCTCAACCAGAAGAAGAAAGAAGAGGAAAAAAAAAGTAATCTATACAATTTGATGAACTTGATCTACACCTATGCCGTAGCTCAAAAGAGGGAACAAATCTTTACAGCAAGCATCATTCCCACCCCTCAGTACACAGGGTAGACAAAGATGGGCAACTTGAATATTGGCTACCCAAAATGGGGGGCTACAAAGGTAAGAAGTAACTGGCTTACAAGCTTTCAAGAGGGAACCTAGAGCAAGAGGACGTGAAGGAAGATAGAATCCCCAATGAGTAGTATCCAATCTGTCTAGGTGGAGCTGATGAAATGAAATGCGGATGGGTCTCTTGTGATACAATAGTGAATAATTGTTATCAGGACTGCTTCTGAGGATTGGAAATATAAAGGTAGACATTTTATAACAAGGAAGGGAGTGATTAACTTTTCAGTTTAGGAGCGGAGGTCCCTGGGACCATCAAGGGAGAAGAGCAGAGAGTGGGACCCTACACAGAGAAGCAGTGATGCCTGAAATGGAGGCAGAGATGATGACGTGGAGAGATGGAGCAGTTGGGGACTTTAGACACAGAGAGGGAGAGGGGCAGGCTTGTAGTGTATAGCCTTTGTTGGTTGATGACACATGGAGGGGATTGTAACCATGGCAATGAAATGATACACAATAGGATAAATGTAAAACTAATGTTCTTCCATGTAAACTATCACATAATTCACAGTAAAACATTTAAAAAAAAAAAAAAAAAATTGGCGACTCAAAAAAGGAAAAAAGATTTACAGCCTCAGAAAGCTTAGGGCGAAGCTCTGTCCTTTTTCTATATATGTTTGATTAGATATTTCATCCCCAAAGAATTTTTCGTAGCCTACATAGTGGTTACGAATCAGGCTGCAAACCACAAGGTCAGCACTTCGAAACTACCAGCTGCTCTATGGGAGAAAGAGGAGGCTTTCTGCTCCCATAAAGATTTACAGCCTCGGAAACCCTGTATAGGGTCGCTATGAGTCGGAACCAACTCCACGGCACATAACAACAACAACATATGTATATTGTTACTCTTTTGGTTTAACTTTTATGATGTCCCAGTTATCTATTTTGTTTTTTGTTACTTGTGTATTCATTGTTGTATTTAATCATCTGTCATTGAAAAAAATTAGGTCCCAAAACTTTACTGCTATATTTGCTTCCAAGAACTTTATAACCATTTAGGTCCTTGATCCATTTTGAATTAGTTTCTGTATGTGTTGTGAGACTCACCAGGCATTGTTCTACATAATTTTATCAACAATCCTCTGAGATAGGTATTGTCCCCATTTTATCAATGAATGAATGGAAATACAGAGAGACTAAGGAATGTAAATTTGCTTTATTTCTACTCTTCTTAAATACTTGAATACTATATGCCAAGCACTAGTGAGTAGTGAGGACAGCCATCTAAAGAGTGGAGGAATGCAAGCTCTAACTCTGTGAGTCCTTGTATTTTTAAACACAGTGTTGCTCTCTATGCAGCTTACAGCACTTTGTATTTTTTTTAAAGAAACTGTTAGAACTGTCTGTATGTTTTCTTGCAAAATGACTTTTGATCTTTTTTTCCTCCAGATTGTACGGACAGATCTGAAAGAGTTAAGAGACTTCAATTTGGATGGTGCTCCTTATGGTTATACGCCTTTCTGTGATAGCCGAAGAGAAATGGATGGCTACAGGTTCTGGAAGTCTGGTTACTGGGCCAGTCATTTAGCTGGGCGGAAGTATCATATCAGGTACTGAACAAGGAATACTGAAAGCCACTCTCGGGTTTTCCCAGATTTCTAAATAGCCAAGAGGCCACTGAAATAGGGGACTGATTACTAATAATCATTCTGCCATGATTATCACGCCTTTCTGATCAAAACCTAAATATACTACACACTCCCAGAGCATTAGCACATGGAAAGTAGCCTTTATTGCTTACAACAAGAAGCAGACCACCAACAATAGACAAGCAGTTCCCAGTTCAAAAGGTGTGCAGGCAGAGATAGAAAACTTTTATACTATAAACAAGGGATTCAAAAGTCTTTTCTTAAACTGTCAGCTTGGCTAGGTTGGCTTAGTTAGGTGGACTGAAAGCTTCTGTACATGCTTCCACCTAGCACCATAGCTGAGGAACAGAGACAATCCCTCTCTGGCCATTTTTATAACCTCCTGAGCAGGGAGGTGGTCAAACATCTTGGCACCTAGCCCAGAATTATATATCTTTCACCTAGCCCACAAACAGTTAGGCTTTAGAAGCAGGGGTGGGGAACTTTTTTTGCTCTTAAAATTTATAACACCATTCATGGACCATACAAAATTGTCAACTTAAAAATGTTAGCCCTGCTATATTTGGTTTTACAGATATAAGAAACCCTGTTGTTAAGTGTTGTCGAGTCGATTCCGACCCATAGCAACCCTATATAGGGTTTCTAAGGAGCAGCTGGTGAGCTTGAACCACCGACCTTGAAGTTCAAACCAGGAGTCCTGGTGTGGCAGTGTGGGTTAATGTGCCAGACTGCAAAGCCATTTGAACTACAAGGTCGGTGGTTCAAGCTCACCAGTCACTCCTTGGAAACCCTATACAGGGTTGCTATGGTCGGAACTGACTCGACAACACTTAACAACAACAACATATTTGGTCTGACATTTAATTAACTCATCCCTAATATGATGGCTGGAACTGCAGTTGCCTTGGCAGGCCCACACCAAATGATTTCTCAGGCTTTATGCAGCCTGCGAGCCAGATGTTCCAGTGGTTTGAACCTTATACCCTAGAGATATTGCTAGTAGGGACTGAAATGGGAGACATGGCAACCAAACTCATCTTAGTAGAGATCACTAGTTAAATCTTAAATGGCTGTTCAGAGGTTTTTAAAACCCCAGATAACAGTTCTCACAGTAGGAACATAAACTTTGTGACTGTGTTTTGCCAATTAACCAAGTTTTCCTCACATGTACTCCTAATGATGCTGGGAGGTTTTGTTTCTTAAAAGTAGTTTTTTGGTTTTTTTTTTTTAATTTAAAATTTTAGGATAAGCACTGGACTACTAATCACAAGGTTGATGGCTCAGACCCACCAGCTGCTCCTTGGAAACCCTATGTAGTCAGAACCGACTTGATACCACTTAACATCAACAACAAAATTTTAAGTAGATAATAAAGTCATATGATTCAAAAATAAATTTTTAAATATATATAAGTATATGAGGGTAAAGGAGCTCTGGTAGCGTAGTGGTTACGAATCAGGTTGTGAACCAAAGGGCAGCTGTTTGAAACTACCACCTGTTAAGCAGGAGAAAGATGAGGCTTTCTGCTCCCATAAATATGTACAGCCTCAGAAACCCTGTATAGGTGTCGGAACTGACTCCACAGCATATAATCGCCACCACCATATGAAGGTAGGTCCAAAGGAAGTTGTACATAGTAATAGAACCCTTTATCAAATTTTATATATATATATATATATATAAAATGAAAAATGCCAAATGTAAAGTTATTCCTAACATAACCTCTATCTAAGGACTATACACTTCTGAGGGCAGTGTTTTTCTAATACTTGCCCAAAGAATTCTAAACGGTAGTTTTGTCAGCCTTGAGAGAATCAAAGCATGTTCCTTTTAAATGTGCTTTGAGTTACGGGAACAAAAAGAAATTTGAAGGGATAAGATCAGGGTTGTAAGGTGGATGAGGTTAGATTTCTCAGTGAAATCCAGGTGCCACCCACAAAGAATGAGCGGGTGCATTGTTGTGATGGGGAAAAAACATTCTTCAGCACAACCTTCCTAGCCTTTTTCGCCCCATTGCAGCTTTTAATCTTTAACAGATTTTACCCTGTGATTGTGCTGTGTCCTTCAAGAAAACTCTGTCAAGACTGTCCCTTGGAATTACAAAAAAGTACTCTCTGTTTGAGTTTAACTGACTTAGCCAATCCCCTCAGAAGCCACTGTTTTGATTGAATCTTTTTTTTTGGAAGCACCCTAAGGAGACTAAGACAAGTGTATTAATGAAGGAGCTTGTCTGCAGCCATCCACTGATTGTAGTTTTTGTTGTTGTTGTTATAGAGACATGCTTAAATATGTTTTGTATGGAATAAACTCATGCATGCATGAACTAGAATCCTAGTAGCAATACTTTTTGACTTAGCCTCATATATATATATATATATATATATATATATATATATATATATACGCAAGTCTCCCACTTATGTCCCTCTTCTTTGCTGTTATCCAGAGTTTCTTAATCTTTTATAACAATTAAAAATTTTTACATTGCCTTCTTATACAATATAGCAGCCTATTGCGTATTTTTTGTTTTTTACTTAATGTCCCTTGTAGATCTTATCATATCAATCTGTAAAGAAGGACCTTATTCCTTTTTGTAACTGTGTTATTCCAGTATATTCATGTTATGTTATTTGTAGTCTTTGTTTAGACAAACAATGTTGCAATAAAATAATCTATTAAATGCATTATTTTTTATATTTCAAGCATTTCTATAGTGAAGATTTCTAAAAGTAGAACTGCTAAATTAGTATGTATATACATTTGTAATGCTTGGTAGTTTTATAACGAACACTATATCATATTCTCTGGAGAAAATATGATTTGGAAGATTTGGATGGCAGTGAGCATACCTGTTATAAGTAGCAAGTTGTTGTTGTTGTTGTATGTGCTGTGGAGTCAGTTCCGACTCATAGCGACCCTGTATAGGGTTTCTGAGGCTGTAAATCTTCTCCTGCACAACAGCTGGTAGTTTCTAACTGCTGACCATGAGATTAGCAGCCTGATTCATAACCACTATGCTACCAGAGATCCATAAGCAAGTACAAGCACTAAAGTTGGAATTTGGTGATCTCAGTATCATACTTTCTGTTCTTTGTCCAAAATAACTGTAGCACTGTTGTATTTTTCCTTGTAACATATATGACACAATCAGGATATCTATACTACCTCTTCCTTCTCAATGCCTATGAAGATGGCACAAGACCAGGCAGCAATTTGTTGTTAGATATTAAGCTGCCATGAGTCGGAGCCAAGTTTATGTCAACTAACAACAACAAATAGCTTTTATTTCTTAGTCTGCCTGCATTTTCTAGAAGTCATCTTTTTTTTTTTCAGAGATTTCCTTTTGAAAGCAATTAAATAAGAAACAGTGACAAACATGAATCAATAGTGTCAGAATATGAGTTTGGGGATAACTTCCCTGAATGTCTTTGAAATAGCACATAGTGCCTCTACCATTACTATAGGGCTTCTGTCTACCTTTTCAAAGAGAGGTCAGAATGGCCAATGAATTGCTCCATTATCCATTGGGATTAGGTTTTCTGACATAATTCATGGTTTTAACAACTGAGTCTTCTCTGTTCAGTGCGCTGTATGTTGTGGACTTGAAGAAGTTTAGGAAAATAGCTGCTGGCGACAGACTCAGAGGGCAGTATCAAGGTCTGAGTCAGGATCCAAACAGCCTTTCAAATCTTGATCAGGTAAAGTAACTATTTTTTCAGTGACAGATTTTCAGTGTTGTTTCAAAAATGTATTATTAATTGCTTATATATTTTTTTCTTTTTCTGGATGGTGTCTTGGGTCTTCATGGAAAAGAATTTTATATGTATATAAATGTGTGAAATTTTATCTGTTCTCAAGAGACAGTACTGAAAAATGATGTCAAATTTTACCTGGGGAGAAGATGAAAGCAGGATAGTACCTCTCTAAATCATCAACATGTCACTTTATTTTATACCCAAGCTGCTAAGTAATCTGATAAATTAGTTTCTCTTTCTGCTAGGGTCCATTTATTTCTCTGTTGCTGAACTAACTAGTTCAGAATTCACAGTATAGAATACAGTATCATAATTTTCCTTTTTTTGTGTGTGTTTGTCAGAAACCATGGTGTTTTTCAAGAGGGTTAGCAGTTTGCTAATGTTTCAAAAGTTTTTTGTAATTTTAAGTATTTTAGGTATACAGCTTCATGTATTTTAAGCATATTTTATTTTACTCTAAGTCTAACTTAAATTTTTATAAACTTTTATTGTGCTCTATGGCATTCAATAAGAAAAGTTTGCAAAACATAATTATATAGATGAGAACATTTATATAAACTTCAAAAATTTGTGGAAGAATGGAATTAAAAGATAATGGAACCTGGGGACTCCTGAGCCCATGCACAAGGAAATAGCCACAGAGGACTAAAGCTGAGAGTGAACCGTCCAGCTGATATGAAGTGAGGGGAGATGCACAAGAATGCCCAAACTTGTAGATGGTACCCATTCAGCCTAGCTTTAGTGGCTTGATGATCAGAACTTGAGAGGAAAATAAAAAAAAATTTTTTTTGATAAAGGACACAAGTGTAAATTGGTCCAAAGTGTGGTGAGACCTGGGGACTCCTGGGCCCATGAACAAGTAGGGCTAGATCTGAGAGTGAAGCATCCAGCTGATATGAAGAGGGGAGCACTAGTGTCCAGACTTAGAGATAGTACCCATTTGACCTAGCCTTGATGGCTTAATGATCAGAACTCAGCTAAAGGAAGATTAAAAAAAAAAACTTTTGATAAAGGAAACGAGTGTAAATTGCTACGATTTTATGAACTTGACCTATACTTATGGATGTAGTAGCTCAAAATACCAACAAGTATAATCCTATCCCCTCTGTATACAGGGTTATTAGGGATTGGCAACTTAGACATTGTTTACTTAAAATGGGAGTGCTATAAAGACATGAAGTGACTGACTTACAAGTTTTCAAGAGGGAGTTTTAGTTTCACAGTGTGCGGGGGAAGTAGAATCCCCAATGAATAGTTTTCTTGTTGTCTAGATGGGTCTGATGAAAGGAGATGGGGATGAGATTCTTATAATTCAATAGTGAGTAATTGTTATCATGACTAATTGCGATTGTCAGAACTATAAAGGTAGAAGTTTTGTAATAAAATGTGGGGAATAGTTAATCTTACAGTCCAGGAACAAAGAACCCTAGGATCATCGAGGGAGATGAGCACAAGTAGAATGTGCAACCCTATCCAGAGAAGCAGTAACACCAAAAATGGAAGCAGAGATGATGACATGGAGAGATAGCGTAGCTGAGGACTCTAGACTCATGGAAAGAGAAAGATTGTGTGTTGGTAGCCAGGAGGCAGGCTTCCACAATATGTCCTTTGATTGTTTAAATGATTATATATTCCTTAGTGTGTTTGTGTATATCCAAAAAAAAAAAAAGAGAGAGAGAGAATAGAAGCAAATACTATTGAGTGATGATGCACAGAGGAGATTGTAATCATTGCAGTGAATGAAACGATGAGTGTAAAACCGATGTTCTCCCATGTAAACTATCACTCAGTTCACAATAAAAACTTAAAGAAAAAAAAGATAATGGAATTTTTTTTCCTTGGGCTTTTTGAAGTCCTTCATACATCAAGGAATTATCCCAAAGTGAACACCCATATGCCACCAACCAGATCATGAAATATACTTATTACCAGCTACTTACATGCCACTCTTTTTCTCTCACAAGCAGCCTGACATATGATAATCACCACATTGCTTTTCTTTGTATTTTTCATACTCAATCATACATTCTTAAAAATTTGTTTGGAGATGCCAGTCTGCACGAGGATAGATTTCTGAGAGAACAGATAGAAATATCTAGAAATGGATATGTTGATATATCACTTGTATCATTTAACAAAATAAATAACTTGACCACTGATGGAAAATTAATTGCCAGGGCATCGAAAAGTTCAGCTGTTGTAGAGGTGGATTTAGAAGGCACCAGGATCCGAAGGAAAAAGATTCTAGGTGAAAGACCAAAGGATGAAAATTAATGGACTGTGTATGTAGAATTATTAAGTATCTACTGGAGAGTCAAAGGGATCTGCCTTTGTGGAATTTGAAACAAAAGGACAAGCAGCAGAAGCTATTGAGTTTCTTAACAATTTATCAGAAGAAGCACCAAGAAAACCTGGGTTATTTCCTAAGACAGTGAAAAATAAACCCATTCCAGCTGTAAGTGTACCTGAAGAAAAGAAAATGAAAAAAAAAGGAAGAAAGATCGTATGAAGAAGGAAGACAATGCTCAGGCCAAGAAGGCAAATATGGACACTAACAATGAGATCATCTGTAAACTGAAAAGATCCAGGACACCATAGGGGTCTGAAGTAGAAATAACTGAAACCCAAAAGCCACCAACAAAGAAAATGGAAAAAACGGGAAAAGACTGAAGCATCCAATTTACCTGAAATAAGAACCGATAAGAGGAAGAGAAGGAACCCCGCTAGTACAAAATGCCTAGCTCCCTAATCTAAAGTGAAAAAACCCTCTCAAAAAGAAAACATTAAAAAGGAAGCTAAAGAAGTTTACCAAGAAAACAAAGAAGTCTCCACAGAAGATAAAGGCGGGTCTCTTTTAAGAGCAAAAGGGAAGCACAAGAAAAAGCATAAAGAGACATAAAATGGGAAAAGAAGTTATACCATTAGAATACTATCAAAGAGTGAATGGATGGATTTAAAAAAGGAGTATTTCACTCTACAAAAAGCCAGCATGGCTTCTTTAAAACAACAACAAAAAAATATCCCAAATAAAATCATCCAAAAAGGAAATAGACCTTGAAGAACCTAATAAGTCTGGAATGAAAAATGAAAAAAACAATAGTGAAGAATGATGCCCCCAGGAGATTAATTCTATGGGAGCCCAGTTTGTAAGGGAAGTAATTGTTAAGATCATTAGTGCTGAGACCCTACCAGGTGGGAAACAAGTTCAGGATACTTTAGTGGCGATCTCAGAAGTTGTCTATGTTGACTTACTAGAAGTTGATACAGAATGCCATAAAAATTTAAGACTCCTGAGGCTGCTCAAGCATTGATAGATGCATGCACAGAAATTCAAAAGAAAACTTGAGATCCTCTCTGGTGATCATGAGTAGTGGAGGTATTGGCAGATGATTTTGATAGACAGATAAGCCAAACTGAATCAGCCTCGAGAAAAGAAAAGCGCCACTGAAGAGTTAATCACCAAAGCTGAAAAGATTAGACTGGCAAAGACTCAACAAGCAAATTAGATTTTCTGAATGTGATTGAAGAAAAAATCATCTATATCTGAATAGTTCACTGGATACTTGAGCTATTAGGAGATCCATCTTTATTATAATAATACTACATAATGTTGTTCTAAAGCCGACACATTAATGAAAAACATAACTTGGTTCCTCTTGTAAATAAGACTTTTTTTAGAGATATGTTGGAGTCCCCATGCGGCACTGTGGGTTAATGGGCCAGACTGCAAAGCCGTTTGAACTGCAAGGTCAGTGGTTCAAGCTCACCAGCTGCTCCTCGGAAATCCTATACAGGGTCGCTATGGGTTGGAACCAACTTGACAGCACTTAACAACAACAACATGTATATCATAATTTTTTATTAACCTTAATTTTTTTGTTGTTGAGATCATCTTATGTTTTATCAGCCACAAAGTTATTGAGTAAATGTGTTTGAATATTTTTAAAAAATTATAATAATTCCAAGTAGTTTTTCAAAATAGTTTCATTTAAACCTCCATCAGCAGTTAAGGGCTCCTGTTGCTTCACATTTTGACCAATATGTATTGTCAGTCTGTTAGTCCAGTGAATGTGAGATAGCATCCCGTTGTAGTTTTTAATTGGAGAATTTAATTCATTTACATTTATTATATTTACTGATAATGTAGAATTTATATCTGTCATTTTCTCTTTGTTTTCTATATGTTGTAAAACTTTTGTTTTGATCAGTTCTTCTATTACTACTTTTTTGTGTAATAGTTCCCTTGTTTCCTTTCATGTATATTTTCAAATTATTTCCTTAGTGGTTGCTCTGGTGATTACCACTGACATTTCCATTTATGTCTGTTGTTGTTGTAGTTCAGTGCCATCAAGTTGATTCTGACTCAGTGACCCTGTATAGGGATTCCAAGGAGCAACTGTTGGGTTTGAACCACCAACTTTGTGGTTCTCAGTGCAGTGTTTATCCTACAGTGCCATACCAGGAGTTCTGATAACTGTCTAGTTTGGATTAATACCAACTTAATTTCAAGTAGGAATCCTGTTGTGGTGCTGTGGGATAAAGCACTGGACTGCAAGTCAATTTGAACTGCAGGGTCAGTGGTTCAAATTAACAATCCACTCCTTGGAAACCCTATACAGGGTCACTGTGAGTCAGAACCGACGCAGTGGCACTTAACAACAGCAACAATTTCAAGTATATAGAAATTACTTTCCTCCTATATAACTTTGTTTCCCACCTCCTTTATGCTGTTATTACTATACAAATGACATCTTTATACATCCTATGCCCATCAACACAGATTTAAAATGATTGCTTTTTTGCAATTGTAAATCATATTGAAAAAAAATTATGATTAAAAAATATATATTTATGCTCTCTTTTATGTGTAGTTACCTTTACCAGACCCTTTATTTCTTAATGTAGATTCAGGTTATTTTCTACAATTCTTTTATGTCGCTATT